TCTCTCTCTTCATTTCTACCTCCCTCCTGCTAAACTCCTCTCTACTCTGTGCCCTTACCCCTCCATCTTCTCTCTCTCTCTCTTCTTACCCCCTCCGATCTCTCTCTCTCTCTCTTCTTTCTACCCCTCCTCTGCTCGTACGTACTCTGCGTCTTCTACTCTCTTCTTTCTACATACCCCCTCGCACTCTCCTCTTCTCTCTACGCTTTTCTATCTCCAGACATACTCTCTACTCTTCCTCTGAGCATCTCTCTCTTTTTACATTACTTCGGACTGCACTGGAGCACGTCTAATTCTCATAACTGTCACATTCAGAAATAGACCTAATTCCGGTCACTTCTCCACGGCTCGCCACTTTGATGGATGACCCGCAACTTCCTCCTCTGACTCTCTCTCTCTCTTTCTACCCCTCCTCTCTCTCTCTCTCTCTTTCTACCCTCTCCCTCTCCCTCTCCCTCTCCCTCTCCCTGTTCTCTGCTCTCTCATCTCGCCTCTCCCTTCTCCCTCTGCGTCTCCCTCTGCCCTCACCCTCTTCCTTCTCTCCTCCCTCTCCCTTTCTCCCTCTCTCTTCTCTCTCTCCTCTCTCTCTCTTCTCTCTCCTCTCCCTTCCCTCTCCTCTCCGCTCCTCTCTCTCAAAACATCTTCCCTTCTCCCTCTTCTCCCTTCTCTTCTCTCTCTTCTCTTTTCTCTCGTCATCTCTCTTCTCCTTCTCTCTCTCTCTCTCTCTCTCTCTCTCTCTCTCTCTCTCTCTCTCTCTCTCTCTCTCTGCGAGACCTGCTCTCTCTTCGCCTCTCCCTCCCTCTCTCTCTCTCTCTCTCTCCCTTCTCTCTCTCTTTCTACCCCTCTCTCTCTCTCTCTCTCTCTTTCTACCCCTCCTCTCTCTCTCTCTCTCTCTCTACCCCCTCCTCTCTCCTCTCTCTTTCTCTCTAGTCTACCTCCTCCTCGCTCTCTCTCTCTCTAGATCTACCCCCTCCTCTCTCTCTCTCTCTCTTTCTCCCTCCTCTCTCTCTCACTCTCTCTCCCTCCTCCTCTCTCTCTCTCTCTCTGCTCTCTTGCTCTACCCTCCTCCCTCCTCCTCTCTCTCTCACTTTCTACCCCTCCTCTCTCTCTCTCTCTCTCTTTCTACCCCTCTACCTCTCTCCTCTCTCTATCCTCTCTCTCTCTCTCTCTCTCTCTCTCTCTCTCTCTCCTCTTTCTCCTCCTCTCTCGTCTCTCTCTTTCTTACCCCCTCCTCTCTCCTCTCTTCTCTCTCTCTCTCTCACACCCCTCTCCTCTCTCTCTCTCTCTCTTCTACCCTCTCTCTCTCGCTATTCTCTCCTCTCCGCGTTCTGCTCTATCTCTCGCTTTCTCTCTCTCTCTCGCTTTCTCTCTCTCTCTCGCTTTCTCTCTCTCTCTCTCGCTTTCTTTCTCTCTCTCGCTTTCTTTCTCTCTCTCGCTTTCTTCCTCTCTCTCGCTCTCTTTCTCTCTCTCTCTCTCTCCTTCTCTCTCCTCTCTCCCATCCCACTACCTCCCACTCTCTTTCCCCATCTCTCCTCTCTCCTTTCGCACGCTATATCAGTCTCCTACCATCACACCATGCCCATTTTCTATGAGACCCCCCGCCCCCTGCTTCTGCGCACCGGGTGGCATGTGCCACTCCTCTCGCACACAAGTACTTAATTAAACCTACAAGTCTACATCAGTACTTCTACAGACCTTATAGACCTTGTATAGCTCGCACTCACCTCAGTAACGGTCGTGGAGGTGAAGAGGGACGTATCGAAAACCTTCTCGCTGCAGTTGGTCCTGACGTTCATGTTGAAGTCCTCCGGTCCGCACACGATGGAGGAGTTCGTAACCGGCTCGTATCGCTGGTACAGTGGAAGCACTCTTCGCCGGCGGGGATGGAGAAAGTTGGCGAGTACCAATTGTCGAGTAGCGTGGTCGTCGGGGTCGTCGCAGCCGGGCACGAAGCACCTGGCGGGGAGGACTGGGTCAGGGGGAGGCAGAGGGCGCGAGACTGCGTGCTCACGGTTGTCACTTTTAACCAAAGGGGAATTCATGCCATTACGCTTGTTATAGACAGAGGTACGTATGCGTAATTCACTCACATACAGAGAATACATACATACTGCACATTTATCATGATGATACACATAGACACACACACACATCACGCATAGGATACTACATATTAAATGTTAGAGCAAATTACTTTTACATTACATACATACATGTAAATATACACATATGGATTACTTGTACATACGTACGATACGATGCAAGTACATACGACAATAGCATTGCAATAGTACATGAATCGGTAACATACATGCATAAGTACATGACGTAGCATACATGCAGAAGTACATACTACATAATGCACAGGTACATGAGCGTACATTTTACATGCAGTGGGCTACATACGTGACATACATGCACGTGCATACATTATGCAATGTGCCCTACATACGATGTACAATATGGGCCACGTTACATACATGTACAATATGTGCACGTACAACATGTTACAATCGTGTGCACGTACATACAGTGTACAATGGCTCGCGGAAGGAGTCTGTGGCACGTACACTACATGTACACATGTGAGTGCACGTACATACATGTACAATGGTGGGCAGCGTACATACATGCTACCAATGTGTGCAGACGTACTAAACATGTACAATGTTGTGCACTAAACATACCTGTACAATGTGTGCGCGAGACGTCATCAGTAAGCAACGTAAATGTGTTGCACGTGACATACATGTACAATGTGGTGCACGTATCATACATGTACAATGTGTGCACGTACATACATGTACAATGTGCATGCACGTACATACATGCTACAATGTGTGCACGTACATCAGTGTTACAATGTGTGCACCGTACATAGCGGAAGGTACAAAATTGAGGTGTGCACGGTACATACATGTACAAATGTGTGGCACGTAGCATACATGTACAATGTGGTGCAGCGTACATTACATGGTTACAATGTGTGCACGTACATTACATTGTACAATGTGTGCACGTAGAGCAATGACCTGCTTACAATGTGCTGCACGTAACATACAATGTACAATTTGGCAGCTACATACATGTACAATGTGTGACACGTAGCATAACATGATATCCGAGAGTGGTGTGCACGTGACATACATGTACAATGTCCGTGTGCACGTACATACCATTAACAATGTGGTGCAACGTACACTACAGTGTACAATGTTGCACGTACAGTTACATGTTACACAATGTGGTGCAATGTCGTACATACATGTACAAGTGTGTGCACGTTACGATAAGCATCGGTACAATGTCGTGCACGTACAAGCATGTACAATGTGTGGCACGTACAATGACATGTACAATGTGTGCACGGTTACAACATGTACAATATGTGCACGTACATGCATGTCTACAATATGTGCACGTACGATACATGTACGAATAGTGGCCACGTACAGTACATGTACGAATATGTGCACTCGTACATGACATGTACAATATGTGCACGATACATCATGTAGCAATATGTGCCACGTACATACAATGTACGCGATATGGTGCACGTACATACATGTACATATGTGCACACGTACATACAATGTGCACCGTACAATATGTGCACGTACATACATGTACAATATGTGCACGTACATACATGTACAATATGTGCACGTACATACATGTACAATATGTGCACGTACATACATGTACAATATGCACGTACAATACATGTACACATATGTGGCACGTACATACATGTTACAATATGTGCACGTACATACATGTACAATAGTGCACGCACTACATGTACAATACACGTACATACATGTACAATATGTGCACGTACATACATGTACATATGTGCACGTACATACATTGTACAATATGTGCACGTACATACATACAAATGTGCACGTACATACACGTACACACCGTACATACTATGGTGTACACATGCTACAATATGTTGCACGTACATGTACAATATGTGCAGTACATACATGTACAATATGTGCACGTACATACATGTACAATATGTGCACGTACATACATGTACAATATGTGCACGTACATACATGTACAATATGTGCACGTTACATACATGTACAATATGTGCACTACATACATGACAATTGCACGTACATTACATGTACCATGTACAATATGTGCACGTACATACATGTACAATATGTGCACGGTACATACATGTACACACTATGTGCACGTACATACATGTACAGTGCACGTACATACATGTACACATGTACGTACGTACATACATGTACAATGTGCACGTACATACATGTACAATGTGCACGTACATACATGTAATATGTGCACGTATATACATGTACAATGTGCATGTACATACATGTACAATGTGCACGTACATACATTTACAATGTGCACGTACATGCATGTATGTGCATACACATGTACATGTATACATGCATTTACAATGTGCACGTACATACATGTACAATATGCACGTACATACATGTACAATGTGTACATACATGTACAATGTGCATGTGCATGTACATGTACATACATGTACATGAATATACATACATGTACATACACATATACATACATACATACATACATGTTCACAGGCATATATATATGTATGTATGTAAGTGTATATGTATACATGTACTTATATTTATACGAAATGCATTTATGTGAATCTAGTGAAATATACAGTCCATCCCTCATAGGCCTAATTCCACATCCTAACCGAAAAGTGCTCAGCGCGACCCGCCGCAAAAACAAAAACAAATAGATTAAATAAAACCACCTGTTAAAAACGGAAACTCCGACCAAAGGCGCGGAATCAATGAAATTATTTGCAGTGACGTCATCGCACCGAAAAAGGCGAAGAAACGATTTTTTTTTTCTCTCATTCGTTGTCTTAGACATCGTGGGAAAACAAAGAGAATATAGGCTTAGTAAGAAGTGTAATATTGCGGATATAAAGTTGAGGGCTGAAAAGAACAGCTGGCGATTCATTCACACACCCCGAGATGCACAGGGACTTTGTTTGTTTTGCCATCGGAGTAAACATGGTTTGCTTTCGTCGTCCATGCCATGATCCGTGGCCAACGCACGGCTCTCCTTCGTTCCTGAAAACAAAAAGCACATCCTCTTGTGGAATCCTACTTGCCCGTGGAACAACGAAAGCGAGTTCAGCACACAGAGCGTCACTCTAGGAATCAATACTCGAAACGCATAACGTCACAACGCTCAATAACCGTCCTTAAAGTCGAAGGATCATGACAAGGCCAGAGAATCCTACACTTTGGCACTCGCTCGTGGATCGCGGGCCGCACCTCCTCGACTCTGTGGTCCTACGCACATCCGCATGGAAATGTCATGCACGCGGCTACAAGACGGCGTTCCATGCAAAGTGGTATGCCACATCCAAGTCTAATTTTCAGAGGCAAACATATACACATGGAAATAAACAAAAATACAACCGTACACACAAATCAACCCATCTTCCTCGTATTATCTTTGATAAAATTATTAAGGCCATTCGGATTCAGTCCCCTCTAAGGGCAAAAATACAATAATGTCGCCATATTTTCTATGCGCATTCAGACAGTCATCTATGGCCCAATACATCGCGCCCTTTATTCTTAAAGCCTCACGGACGCCGAGTCATGACCATACTGCGATCAACAATGACACGGCACCAAGGAAACAAACAAAAGGACAAACAGCTGTAACATAACAACCCCGTATCTCTCCCTTGGCCGTGGAGTGCGGATGATTCCGAGGCTACTTGTGGTGTTATATAAGGAAACCTTACAAAAGAAAAAGGTTATATAAAAAATATATATATACTTTAGGGACATGACAACTGCCTTGATTTTTTTTCCACCTGGAAAGTTTTTCTTTTTCTTTTTACGTAAATGCTATCTCCACTGTCCTTTAAAAAGCATGCGAAGAACCAAGAGAACAAAATAAAATAAAAAATAGGTTCAAATTCACGGAAAAGGACTTCCTATCTATCTGTACCTACGCAGCGAAATAAAAGTCAGTGGCCCGACGACCTACAAAGGCGGTTCCATGGTTCCCACGGGACTTTCGTCACGCTGACGAGCACGGCGTAGGCGCTTACTTCTAAAGTTTTCTCCGCGTCATCGAGGCCGTCCCAGTCCCTAACAAAACATGCCAGTAACACCTCGGCCCAACAACTCGGCCCCAACAACTCGGCCCTAACAACTCGGCCCTAACAACTTAAACGAATACAGCACTCTGGTGGCATTTGAACAAATTATACAAGGGTGAAAAAATGCGTAACTGTTCGGAAAGATGATGATGAGTGGAAGGAACACAACTAGAAGGGAAAATAGCGGAATAGAGAGAGAGAGAGTGGAAAGACAAGTAGGAAGGGAGCATGGGAAGCAGAGGGAAAGAGCGAGAGGAGGCAAGGAGAGGGGGGAGAGCGAGGAGGAGGCAAGGAGAGAGAAGGTTAGCAAGAGTGGACAATGAGAGAGAAATAGAGCGAGAGGGAGAGAGCGAAAGGAGGGCAAAGGAGAGCGAGAGATAACAAGAAGAGGGAGAAATAGAGAAGACAAGAAAGGGGGCAAGAAAAGATAGAGAGAGCGATAGAAGCCTAAAAAAGATGGAGAGAGCGAGAGAAGACAAGAGATAGAAAGAGAGCGAGAGGGAAAAAGAAGAGAGAGAGAGCAAGAGGGGACAAACGGAGAGAGGGAGAGAGCGAGGGGGAACATGAGGAAAGAGAGAGTGAAAGAGGACTAGAAGAGAGGGAGAGAGGAGGGGTAGAAAAAGAGAGAGAGAGAGAGAGAGGAGGGGGTAGAAAGAGGAGAGAGGAGGGTAGAAAGAGAGAAAGAGGAGGGTAGAAGAGAGAGAGAGAGGAGGGTAGAAAGAGAGAGAGAGAGAGAGAGGAGAGAGAGAGAAGAGAGAAAGAGAGAAAGAGAAGAGAAGAG